CAACTTATGAAGTTGACAATTGTTAGTCCAAGCGGTGATGAAGTTACAGCGTTGTTTAACTTTATTGTTGATCATCATTAAAACATAGAGTAAATGTCGCGGCCCTCATATCAGATAAGTTAGTGATAATAGGTAACAATAATAAATAATTCTGAAAATTAGGAATCTGATGCCATTGAAAAAAAAATTAAAATAATAGAAAGAAAATTACAAACAGATAACACTCGCCGCCCATCGAGCGGGCACAAAACTAGTAGTTGTTATGGATATTCGGTCGCGGCTGTGGCAAACGGTGGAAGGAGACAACTTAGGATTCCGCCTACAGTATTTCGAGATGGGCTGCAAAATGGTTGGCAAAGGCGATGATTTGGCCAAAAAAGTATAGAAGAAAACCCAGTGGATAATAGTTGAATAGAGAAACCATTGAACAATAGCTCAAACTTTTTTTTAATAAGGGAACAATAGCTTAAACTTGGTAGGCAATAATTGTTACGAGAAACACAATGGACAATGATTACAAACCCAACAAACAATATTTGAACACGAAGGTTGTAGAATGGGAGAGTAGGGTAAAAGAAACCCTTGGAACTTCCCCACTTGCAAGGAGGAGTGTGAGAGCTTGCTCGCTGTCCCTTCGCGTATGAGCGAGAACATGACATTTTAAAGATTAATAGTTTGAATTTTGATCCAAAAGAAAAGGACTTGTCATCTACAATTTCATGTAATCGACGCAACGATATAAACTTTGATAAGCGAGAAGGGTCGTCGAGCAAATGATTTCTATGTTAAATCTTCTCTCGTAACACTATTGATTAGTTTGTATTCTTTTTGCTTTGTTTTTTTTTTTCAAGTTCATTCTCAACCAAAAAGAAAGAGAGACATTAAAGCGGATAAAACTCGCTCAAGACCCCAAATTCGGCAACATCTTGTTCAACTCTCTTTGATCGGGTTCAACCGAGTTTGTAAAAAATTCACAACCGACCAGACCATTTAAAAAGCGTATAAAACTCACACCCGCCTGATAAATTAATAAACACTAAAGTGGATAAAACTCGCTCACGACCCAAAACTCGTCAACATAATGTTCAACTCTCTATTATCTGGTTGAACCGAGTATGTAACAAATTCACAACCAATTCGACCCGCCAATTACAAAAGCGAATAAAACTCACTCCTTCATGAAAGCTTTGTAAACATCGGGTTCAAGTCATTTTTATCAAGTTAAATTAGGTTGGATACCCATAGGGTTTGCTCTCGATACAAAACTCGTCAGCACTGAGTCTTGCTTCAATTGTCATTCACAACGAAAAGGAAAAATAAAATAATATTAAACAGACAAATCTCAGTCTCGATCTAAAACTCGGCAACACCTTGTTTAGCTCGCTTTGACTCGGTCGAATCGAGTTTTTAACAAATTCACACTCGACTCAAGATGCCAACTACAAAAGCGGATAAAACTCGCTCTCGATATAAAACTCGTCAATACCAGGTTTGGGTTCAATTGTCATTCTCAACGAAAAGAAAAATAGGAATTTAAAAGGGTTAATACCTTAGTTTGGCCTGAACTATACACAAACTTTCTACTTTGGTCTGTGATTTTCGAATTTGCTATCTTGGCCTGAACTATGTACCATACTTCCTAATTTGGTCGGGAGCCGGGTTTGACCGTCAAATTAGACGATCAACTCCGTTAACCGTTAGTCAATGGCCAGCTCACTTGGCACGTCAACGAGTATGATATAAAAAATTTATTTTTTGTTTCTGTATTCATTTTCTTTTCTAATAATAATAATAAAACGGAAAAAAAATCCAATTTATCCCCTCCCCTCTCACCTCAATTGGGAAAAATCATTTTCCAAACCCCTTCTTCCTCAAACCCAAATCCATCCTCCTTCCCCTTCTCCGCCGCCTCCGAGGGCTTACATGTTTAGCGATGGTGATTTCAGGGATGGTGGGGCTCCCGGAATGACTCGAAGGTCTAGATCTTTTGGAGGTGTGACGGAGGCAGTGCCGGGGGGGGGGAAGAGATGGACGGGACAAGTCGGGTGCCGCCATCACCACCATGATACGAGACATGACCCCGGAGAGACTTTTTGGTAAGATGTCCCATTTGCAGAGGCTATTGGATCGATTCTTGTCTTACCGGCCAAGAGGGCTAGCTAAAACTAGAAGATTGATACTCATCGCGGTATATCCAGTGGTGAAAGAGAGTTTCCAGTTGTATGCTTATATATGCGAGGAGATCAGATGGTGACATTGGGAGCTAGGGATCCCGTTGGAGGTGGAGAAACCAACTGGGTGGAGGGAGGGAGAATGATCTTCAAAAATCCCGACGAGAGGACAACGCCGGTGAGGGTTTCGGGTGCCGATTCAGCCAACAGCTTCTCGGGCCTCTTGGAGTGAGATCGGGAATCAAATTTGGGGTCTCGATGATGGCAGCGGCGGATAGGGGAGGAGTGGAGAAAGATCCCACGTCCGACAATTGCTAGGGCGAGGGAGAATCCGGCGCGGGATGGAGAGGTGGAAGCGTTGGGAGGAGAAGGGGAGGGGATAAATTGAGTTTTTTATTTTTTTTTTGTTTATTATTATTATTAGAAAAGAAAATGAATACAGAAACAAAATTAAATTTTTTTATTCCATGCTTGCTGATGTGGCAAGTGAGCTGGCCATTGACTAACGGTCAACGGAGTTGACCGTCTAATTTAACCGTCAAACCCGGCTCTGGGCCAAGTTAGGAAGTATAGTACATAGTTCAAGTCAGAATACCAATTTTGGAAACCACGGGCCAAAGTAGAAAGTTTGTGTATAATTCGGGCCAAACTAAGGTATTAACCCAATTTAAAATTACTAAAGACAGGTTCAAGTCGCTTGAATTAGGTTGGATACCTATGAGTTTGAGTTCAATTATCATGCATGACCAAAAGAAAAAGAGAAATAAGAAAATACTATTGAATATAAAACTCGGGTTCGATACAAAACTCGACAACATAAAGCATGTTGGTATGGATTGTCGGTAGCGGTCTTGTGACACGGTGGATGGGTGCAACTTAGGATTCCACCGAAATTATTTTGAGATATGGTATGGATCTTCGGTAGCAATCGTGGCAAACGTTGGAAGAGGACAACTTATGATTTCGTCGATAGTGTTTCGAGATGGGTTGTGAATTGGTGGTCCAAGGAGATTATTTGGGGGAAAGATCATAGACAAAAACGTAATAGATAATTGTTGCAACAGGGAACGCAATGAACAATAGATGAAACCTTATGGATAATAGTTGCAGACCCAACTGATAATAAATGAACACAAAGGTTGTAGAATGAGAGTGGGGTAAAAGATGGAACTTGAAACTGGTTTACTTACAAGGAGAAGTGTGAGAGCAACTAATGAATAGTAACTCACAACCTTAGCTTTTATAAATTAATTAATATATTAATTAATTAATATGATTTCGTCGATAGTGTTTCAAGACGGGTTGTGATTTGGTGGTCCAAGGAGATGATTTGGGCGAAAGATCATAGACGAAAACGTAATAAATAAACGCAATGAACAATAGATGAAACCTTATGGACAATAGTTGTAGACCCAACGGATAATAAATGAACACAAAGGTTGTAGAATGAGAGTGTGAGGTAAGAGATGGAACTTGAAGCTTGTCCACTTGCAAGGAGGAGTGTGAGAGCCACTAATGAATAGTAACCCACAACCTTGGCTTTAATATATTAATTAATTAATTAAGTATTTCGAGATATGGTATGGATCTTTGGTAGCGCTCATGGCAGACGGTGGAAGAGGACAACTTATGATATCGTCGATAGTGTTTCGAGATGAGTTGTGAATTGGTGGTCCAAGGAGATAATGTGGGCGAAAGATCATGGACGAAAACGTAATAGATAATTATTGCAATAGGGAACGCAATGAACAATAGATGAAACCTTACGGACAATAGTTGTAGACTCAACGGATAATAAATGAACACAAAGGTTGTAGAATGAGAGTGTGGGGTAAAAGATGGAACTTGAAACTTGTCCACTTGCAAGGAGGAGTGTGAGAGCCACTAATGAACAGTAACCCACAACCTTGGCTTATATATATTAATAATAATTTCGTCGATAGTATTTCGAGATGGGTTGTGAATTGGTGGTCCAAGGAGATAATTTGGGCGAAAGATCATAGGCGAAAACATAATAGATAATTGTTGGAATAGGGAACGTAATGAACAATAGATGAAACCTTATGGACAATAGTTGTAGACCCAACGGATAATAAATGAACACAAAGGTTGTAGAATGGGAGTGTGAGGTAAAAGATGGAACTTGAAACTTGTCCACTTGCAAGGAGGAGTGTGAGAGCCACTAATGAATAGTAACCCACAACCTTGACTTTTATATATTAATTTCGTCGATAGTGTTTCGAGATGGGTTGTGAATTGGTGGTCCAAGGAAATGATTTGGGCGAAAGATCATAGACGAAAACGTAATAGATAATTGTTGCAATAGGGCATGCAATGAACAATAGATGAAACCTTATGGACAATAGTTGTAGACCCAACGGATAATAAATGAACACACAAGTTGTAGAATGGGAGTGTGAGGTAAAATATGGAACTTGAAACTTGTCCACTTGTAAAGAGGAGTGCGAGAGCCACTAATGAATAGTAACCCACAACATTGATTTTTATATATTAATTAATTAATAATGGGAGTGTGAGGTAAAAGATGAAACTTGAAACTTGTTCACTTGCAAAGAGGAGTGTGAGAGTCACTAATAAATAGTAACCCACAACCTTGGATTTTATATATTAATTAATTAATATAGTGGTTTCAGTTTCTGATAATCGAAGAACAGGTAACTTGTTTGTTTGCCTTTGCCACCATCGTTGCAAATCAGGATCTCACTAAATTCGAGAATCCACTTAGTATTGTAACGATGCTTCAATTTAAAAGATTTTCTAGTGACGTTTAAATCAATATGCAATTTTTAACGATATCAAACTATTGAACCACAGTTAGCATTACAAAACACTTTCGTCAACAACTTACTAATTCAAAGCAATCCAATTCAGTGAGTGACAATTCCACGTCGTCACAAACAGTAAAAGAGCAATCCAATTTCCCAAGTTCTGCTGTTCAGGACAATTGCACCAAGAACCATATATGATCCTGGCCTGTACAGATATTCGGAACTGAACTCTGGTCCATTTCTTATGGATATGGTTAATCATACTCACCATTAGCGCTTGCAAATTTTAGAAAAGAAAAAAGGGAAGGGAAGGATGAACAGAACAGAACAGAACAGAACAGAACAGAAGTGCTACGACCATTTATTGATCGATTTAAACACATTTATTGGAAAACATATAGTGCATACCCACGCATGCCTAACCCACGACCTCAATGATGCAACCCCGACGACGTTCTTATTGCCGAAAACCACAAACTCTCCTCCACATCAAACGAGAACTCAATGACTGCTAACTTTCACTTTACATGCTAGCCAGCTTAAGGGAGTTGGCCTTTTCTTGCAGGGTATCCAGCAGACTGTCAAAGCTCTTCTTGAATGAATCGACTCCTTCTGCCTCCAGCTGATCTCCTACCTGGCTCCAACCAATGCCCAGCTTCTCCAGCGCGCTATAGATCCCTTCAGCTTCCGACACACTGGAATCGATGGTCCTCCCAACGGTTCCATGATCGACAAATGCTTGAAGTGCTTGATCAGGCATGGTTGAAACCTACACCAGAAAAAAAGAGTGGGGAAAGAGACCCTTCATTATCACAAACCGTTGAACCCTTCAGCAAAACCAAGATAGTGCAAAACTCAGCTCAATATAATGGTGGACATGCAGAGTTGAAAACCTACCGTGTCTGGTCCAATAAGGGGTGCCACATATAGAGTATCAGGGTAGGCAGGATTTTTCACGCTAGTTGATGCCCACAGCAGCCTCTGCTTCTTGGCACCCTTCTTCACCAAGGCTTCCCATCTTGGTCCAGAGAATTTCTTCTGGTACAGCTGATATGCCAGGGCTGCTTGAGCTACTGCAGCCTAAGACACAGTGCCCCCTCGATGAATAAATCAAAGCAATTCTCGGGATCCACAACATATCAGCATTCCAAGTACAGCAAGAATGAATTGATATTTCATTTACCTTTCCGCGGAGATCTAGTGCTTCTGGAGTTCCAATCTTCTCCAGCATTTTGTCAATGAGAGTGTCCACCCTACTTACGAAGAAGGAAGCAACACTCGTCACTCTAGAGAGGTCGCTTAGGCCAGATGCTTCGAGGCCATCCAAGTAAGCATCAATTACAGCTTCGTATCGAGCGAGTGAGAATATAAGCTGTACCAATGCATAAACACACAAAAAATGAACGAACATCAGACTAAGCGCTGTTACAGTGTTACTGCACACATCATGGCTCAGACTTTATACCAAAACTAGAAATTTTTTCTTAATAGAGAGACTTGTCATTAGGATACTTAATAGGCTATAGTCGTATTACTAGTAAGAGTAGACACTTGCAGAGCCTGTATTCTTAGAAAATACACCAACTAGAAAACAAACAGCTAAGAGAGAAGACAAGAGTCAACTTACAGTCACGTTCACACTAATACCAAGCGAAATGGTATCCTTAATGGAGGGCACACATGCAGCAGTAGCAGGAATCTTGATGTACACATTGGGACGATCCACCACCTTATGCAGCCATTTCGCGGCCTCAACGGTCCCTTGGGTATCATCAGCTAGTCTAGGAGAAACCTCAACAGAGACATAGCCATCAGCGCCGTCCGTTTGATCATAAATAGGCTCAAAGAGCTTGCACGCGTCCTGAATATCCTTAATTACGAGCTCCCAATATGCATTTTCAATGTCTTTCCCGGACTGTACAAGCTCCCTAGGAATCAGAAACAATCTTTAGATCAGTATCACTCAAATGAAAATCCACAGAAGAAAGCAACGAAGTTCAGCAACCGTATACATGTAGGAAATTAATGGGGTCCAACGCTGGACCCAGGAAGAGCCCACCATTAGCAAGGGGACATCAATACTATGCTCAGCAAAGGAACAAATTGCTAGAAGCGACAGGGAATCAAAGTGAAGGCACAAAGTGTGAAGCAAGGCCAAAAGGGTAGTACTTGAACTGATCGTTGTAAGCGTTGGAGGATGAGATGGCCTTCTGGAAAATCTGCAAGCATAGGTTGAAGAAAGGCTATTAAGAAAACGGAAAAGGGTGGGAATACACAATAGAGACAAAGAAAGAAAGAAAGAAAGAAGCAGGCAGTTACCGCTGGGTTGCTAGTGACACCTCTAACACCAGTCTCAATCAAAGGGATGAGATCGGTCACAGGGCGGCAGAGGTTATCATACCAAGGGCTCTGACCCTCCCGCTCATAGAGATCATGAAGCGTAGTTCTCTTGGTAGGGCTCCCATTCCCCGCGGAAGCAGAGCACCTAACTCTGCATACCCACAAAGCAGCAGTGATCAGCAGCGACATAATTTAAAATAAGACAAACAATCCAACAAAAGGACAAGCACTTACAGAAAAGAGGGCGTCGAGGGTTTGATGGCGAAACGAAGCCGGAGAAGGGCCGAAGGAGGAGAAGAACGGTTGGGGGTGTGGAAGGGGATGAAGGAAAGGTTGGGGAAGGAGGATGGCGTGTTGGGATGGGAAGATGATAGGAGAGGGTGGTGAAGATTGGAGGAGAGCTTGGAAATGGTTGCCATCGGGAGTTTGGAGGGTTGCCGGGTGGGATCAGATCGAGGTCGCCGGGATCTTCAGATAGCGGGGGTTGGTTGGAGTGGTTGGTGGCCGGCGATATTTCTAACGTCTTGTGAAATCTGAAAGCGAGAGCGGATTTCAGAGTCGCGATTGATGCGATCGGTATGAACTCGAGATCAGAGGGCGGAGAAGGGAAAAAGGATATTCAGAAATTAGAAAGAGATGCCAAATCAGGGATTTTGAGGGAGAAGAGTGCAAAGAGAATAAGGGATCGATACGGCGGTGGAGATGACAAGACAAGACACAAGAGTTGAGAACGTAGAGAGGGGATATGACATATGAGCGCAGGGGTTTGGTGAGTCTTCTTTACCTAGTCTTTTTCCCCAACAACGTATGTATAAGTTGGTACGTTGACCGAAGATGGGAAAATGAGAATCTGGCCTTTTGGTCTGTCCGATTCGTCAAATTTGGCCCACTGGCCTTTCGGTTTGTCCAATTCGTCAACTTTGCCCCATTTGGGTGGGAGCCAAATTCACATTGAGTGAGGCTCAGGAAGGGGCAGAGTCGCAGAGAGACAGACAGAGGGTAGTCGACGTTTAGCCTTCAATTGCTGTCATTATCATGCTAACACTAATACAAAAGGAGATTTCAACGAGAGAAAGCCATTGATTAACCAATTAAAACCATTAGTCTACCTAATCCATGATTCCTATCGACTTTAAACATATTTTTTTTTTTTTTTTATAACGAGGAACACCCTCCACGGTCACCACATTTTGTGTTTTTGTGATGCCGTAGTGAGGCTAAACCCCGGGACCTCCGCCGGCGGTCCAGGTGATAGCAGGATGCCTCCGGGAACACCATGGTTGCGGTGAGGATCGAACCTGGGACCTTATGGTCACCAGTCCTCCTCCCTTACCACCAGGCTATGTGACCTTTGGCAACTTTAAACATATTACCAATATCACTTCCCCAGGTTGTGAACTATGACATGTAACTAGAGATTTGCCTTTAACCACAGTTACATAATTATTGATCGCTTCATCCGTTAATCATGATGAGGTCATGCGTACCTCAGAGATTTCATTCTCAAACTCAAAATTACACTTTAAAATTACACTTTAAAACTTACACTTTTACATTTTTAAGTCACCAAAGCGCTTCTTAGTAGAATCACTCTTCTCCCTTATAAATCTAGTCAAAATCTACATTTTTTACTGCATTGCCCATGACAAAAAAATAACAACTTTGTATGAAACCTGTGACTCGAGGTAACTCATAGCCATCGCCGATGGCTGCCGGGATAAGCAACCAAAAACAACGTCTGGCCATTGACACGTCCACACAGACTAGTAAAGGATTGGAAAGAAACTACATTTCCAAGCACCTATGGTAGAACGAGCGGTGAAGAGATTGTTGAAGAGTCGAATCATTTTCGAATAACTTGAATAATAGCAGAGCATGTGAATGATGGCAGGGAAATGATTCTAAATATAACTATCACAAAAATTAATCCACTTTCTTCAGATAAATCCGAAACAAAACCAGAATGACCAAAATACATACTCCGAAAACTTGCAAAGATTTAATCCCTAGCGGAGATCATGCAGCAAACCATAGAAAACCAAGCTCCTGTTTAGGAAAACCAAATCAATATTTGATGGGAGCAATGACTTCCAGCTGGGCACCGAGCTTCTCATCGGCGGTCTTCTCAGCCTTGACCCTGAGCTTGGCCAACTGCTTCTTTCTCTCGTACATGACAGCTGACTTCTCCTTCCTCTTCCTCTCAAGCTCCTGTTGTGATATTAATGGAGATTAGTTCAAAATAAAGTATTGGCAACAATAAATGATCCAACATCAACACCCTGTGTACAATTACATTGCAACTTAGTTGGTACATTACATACAAGCAACATCCATCATCACTCAGCACACAGCCAGCATATCAGAATTCAAAGCTAAACCAAGAACCCTGTTGTCTAAACCCACTATGCTCTGAAACTGGAGGTACTGAATGGAAAAGCCTAATAGACTGAATTCAGAAGCAGCATTCATACACAGGATTAACTCACTAGCTCAACACTTGGAAGCACAACATAATAATGGCATCAAATTGCATTGTATAACGGACGATCAACTTACAATTAAAAGAAACTTAGAACTTAAAAACGAGAAGCTTCTGCTAATACCTTCCTATGTTAGTCTTGTTGTCAGAAACACCAACGAATTGACAATGCAGTATGCAATACTTGAGTTAAAACAACTCGCTCATACACAAACGACTTACAATCTAGCCGCAATGTCAAATCAATCAGCGGAATAAAAGCTGCAATTACCTTAATGGTATCATAGTGATTCCATCCAACTTCAGAAGAGAGTTTGCCCAACAAGCAGTACTTATGACCACTCTGCAACCTCAAAACCCTAGCAAAAGGAGGAGGAAAGATCAGAATCACAAGTCCCAAAACGAAACCCAAGCGAAATAATTTAAGAAACCCAGCAAAACACTCACTTGAGAGCGTCGGGGATCACCATCCTCTTAACCTTGTCGTACGGCGGCGGGACGCCCTCGTAGACCTTCAACCTGGCGAGGGCAGCCTCCCCGCGCTTGGTCTTGTGAGGAATCATGCCGCGAATGGTGCGCCAGAGTATCTTCGAAGGAGCGCGAAAGTGGATTGGCCCGTGGGAAGGCTTGGTGTTCATCCGCTTCCTCAAGAACCTCATGTACTTCATCTTCTGGCGAACCAGTCCGCCGGACAGGCAAATCTCCTCGCATCGAACGACGACGACCTTCTGGCCGTTGAGGAGCTCCTTGGCAAGGATCGAGGCGAGGCGGCCGAGCATGTGGTGGCGGGCGTCGACGACCACCCTCTTGGCGCAGATTCCTGAACCGGACACCATTGTTGCTTGGCTCAGCTGATGCTGCTGCGGCGTTGATTTGTGGAAATGGCGCTAGGGTTTTGAGAGTCTGGGTTTGGGAGTGTATATATACGGTGCGAGTTAAAGGTAGTAGGTATGGGCTTCAATGAGGCCCAAGCCTGGCTTCGATTTGTAATTGACAACAGTTGGGCCATGGATTATCTTTACGGGCTTAGTTGGGGGCCTTCAAAACCCTTGGACTAACATAGCAGAAAGATTGTGATGAAGCTGATGGAAGGAAAGCTGCAGAAGTGATTCAGGAGGAGCAGCTGAAGAACACAGCAGAAGATAGGCAGAAACGTTTCGTTTCTGCCTTCCCCTCCACCTAGCTTAAAGAGGAGGTTGAAACGGTGACGTAGAGATCAACACTTATCGTTAGGTGGAGATCAAGAGGCCAACCAGACGAGGACATGTGGCATTCTCTATTTCGTTTTAGTTTAAATTACAGTTTAACAGACATTTCACATTTTACTGTTTACTGCAACTTTACCTTTCTAAACGTTGGTATAAATAAAAGAATCAGAGGCCCGGCAATTTGCGGGTTCCAAATAATCATTGCCCGCATTCTTGTTCTCCCTTACAACCAGCTGCAACCCTAGCAGCTTGGTTTCTCATATGGTATCAAAGCGGTGATCCGCTTTTCCGCGTCAACCCAACTCGATGAACACTCCACCCAGCAGCTCCGGCAGTAGTGATGGAGAGATCCCTTTTGGCAGCTTCAACCGCAATGCTCAGAATCAATAAACTCAGCAAACCCAGTAAACCCAGCAAATGCAGAACGATGCCCAAGCTCATATCTATGCTGGTAATCATAACAATCAAGTGGGTTATGCATTTGGAAGTCCTCACTATATAAATCCAACTGAAAATCTAGGACAATCTATAATTTCAGAATTGCTAGATTAACACAATTATCATATGTGGCAAATGGCTGTACGAATGGTTCTCAAAACCAAGCATAAGATTGGGTTTATTGATGGTAGCTTGCCTATGCCAGCACGAACTCATCTTGAGTTCCTTTTGTGGGATGCTTCCAACACCATGGTGTTGTGTTGGATTCTGAATTCAATTGAAAAAGACATACGCCGTAGTGTATTGCAGCATGGAGTAGCACAAACTCTTTGGGATGAACTTAAGCAGAGATTTGCCAGTTGCAATGCACTGAGACTTGTTAATTTGAAAGAAGCTATAGATCGTTTTAAACAAGGAAGTCTGAGTGTGACTCAATACTATGTGCATCTAAAAGGGTTATGGGAGGAATATCTCCAGTTCAACCCCATTGTTGATTGTGGATGTGTGATAGCTAGAGTCAGACCTTGTGCAGCAGTTGAGGCTTTTAAGGAAAGGCAAGAGACTGAATACCTCATCAAGTTTCTTCGAGGACTCAGACCTGAATTCGATGTGGTGCAAACTCAGTTATTGATGATGAAGCCATTTCCTTCTGTGCAAGCAACCGTAGATGACATCCTGCAACATACAGAAGCTTAAATCTTATAAAGGGCATTCTAATCAAAGTGTTCACTTAGTGGCACTCGCAGCTCAGGGTGATAAGCAGAAGATCTCTAGTTCATTTGAACCTAATAAAGGTGGAAAGGATGGCACAGAGGTGGAAAGCAAGTTCTGCCGATACTGTAAAAAGAATGGCCACTTGAAGGAAGAGTGTTACAGACTCAAGAATAAGAAGGCCAAGATGGCAGGGGAGAACAGTTTTGATGGTTCTCTTTCTCAGTCAGACTCAGAGAGTAAAGACACAGGCTTCACGGGAAGTAATTTGAGTCTAGACACCAAGATCAGTCTGGGTAGCCACTGGTTCACCACAGAGGATTCAACAAACTTAAATCCCTTTTGCAACAGTCTGACAGCATGAGTCCCTCACCACCTCTTTCACCTTCACTCAAACATATTGCATATTCAGTCACTCAACACTTACCACGGTTTTCTAACTACTATGGTAAGTTTGTTCTATCTTCTCACAACCATTATGGTTTAATGGGTCTAGCAAAAGTCTGGATATTGGACACTGAGGCCTCAGATCACATCTGTTGCACACTTTCTCTACTGACTGATGCTAAGCCTACAGTCAACCAATTTGTGTATCTACCAAATGGATCTAAGGTTTCAGTTAGCCATATTGGTACAGTTAGATTACAACCTGGCTTGTACCTTCAAAATGTGCTCATGGTCTCTAGTTTTACCTTCAACCTTATCTCTGTTAGCAAAATTACCCATGACCTTCCACTTTCTCTACATTTTGAATCTGACTCTTGTCATATTCAGGACCTAGTGACCAGGAAGCATATTGGTTTAGCCAGACAGAATAGAGGCCTCTACCAATTTTTCCCCAACATTCCAGCCTTACCACACCATCACACAACAACCACTTACAACTGGCCACACCAATTTGAGTTATGGCATTGGAGGCTAGGTCACCCCAGTAAAGAAAGAGAAAGCCAACTTGTTGGATGTAATAGCTCCATTGTCAGACATTGTGAAACCTGCCATTTAGCTAAACAAAGGAAGCTCCCTTTTCTTGTTAGCACTAGTAGAGCACAGTCTGTCTTTGATTTGATTCATGTGGACATATGAGGTCCTTTAGCTGTTAAGTCCTATGATGGTTATTCCTATTTTATTACAATTGTGGATGATCATTCTAGAGCTGTTTGAAAATACTTAATGAAGTTTAAGTCTAAAACTAGTCAGATTTTGGAAGCCTTTTGTGTGATGGTTAACAGGCAGTTTGGCAAGTTGGTTAAAGTTATTCGCAATGATCAGGGGAGTGATTTCACATGGCAGAATTCTATTCCACTAATGGAATAGTTCATCAGACATCTTGTGTGGAGACTCTTGAGCAGAATGCTACATCGAACGAAAGCACCAACACATATTGAATGTTGCCAGGGCTGCTTAGATTTCAAGCTGGATTGCCATTGATATTCTGGAGTGACTGTATCTTACATGTTGTTCATCTTATAAACAAATTTCCTCCCCAATTCTGAAGGATCTCAGCCCATTTGAACTTCTCTACCTTAAACCTCCTACTTTTTCTCATCTCGAAGTGTTTGGTTGTCTTTCCTATGCTTCTACTTTGCTTAGGAACATGACCAAATTTAACCCCAGAGCTAGGTAATGTCTCTTCCTGGGTTTTCTTCCTGGGATCAAAGGTTATAAACTCTTTGATCTCCATACACATGATGTGTTTGTTTCTCGTCATGTCACCTTTTATGAACAAATCTTTCCTTTCAAAACCACTACCCCACCTCTTGATCATGTTCTTTCTACACACACTAACTCATCTTCCTCATCCTCCACTCTTAATCATTCTCTTCCTATTCATACTCCACTCCCCACTGACAACTTCTTCCAACTGGTTCCTTCCCCAAACTCTCACAATACATCTCAGCCCCACTCTTCTTCATCCTCTTCTAGCACCAATACACCTTCCAGTTCTACTACCACCCTCACAACACCTCTCCTGTTCCTTTTACCCCTGTTGACGAGTGTCCTAATTTGCATTCTGATGGGGAAGAATTATGTGCTCAGGAACCTATTGAAGAAGGGGAGGATCCTAGAATGAAGGAACCTATCAGAAATAGAACCAAGCCTGCATGGCACAAAGACTATGTGTTCTCAGGTGCTACCAGCAGTCATTCAATACAACATTTTGTTTCATTTGAGCAATTACCTGAATCACACAAGTCCTATGTGCTAAGTGTTATGAATGCAACAGAACCTAAGTCTTATGCAGAAGCATGTTGACACGCTAAAGCACAACACCTAACAATGGCCAAGTGTAACCAATGAAAGGCACTGCAGTATAGTGGCACAAGTAATAAATATCGAATCCACGGGTCTCTAGAGTTACTATTACTCAGCTTCAGTTCATTATCTAGCAAACTAGATTAAGGATTGATTAACTAAACTACTCTACTAACTAAACTAAGTAAAACTACTAATTACAGTTTGGGAACTCACTTAGGTATGATTCCTCCTAGCTCCTCAATTAGGTCCAAGTTGCAATTACCTTTGGTTGATCTACTGTTGATTAAACTGCGGAAGATCCTAAATTAGCTTGGAATCTCTTAAGCTGACCAAGCCCTCTCAGCCCAACTACCCGGCAGACGACTAGTCTTCACCAGGATAGAAAGCTGAGGTTATGAACATAGAACTCCACTACTGGAATGAATTCCAGTACAAAGCAGTGAATTGATTGACTCTCGCACAACCAATTCACCACTATCAATCAAGGAAGCTCTCTTAACCTAATCAGATTCTATCTATCATAGGTTAAAGCAGAAATCAAGAGAATTTGATCAAGATTCAATTGACTCAATAAATCATGTCTCAATCGATTATAATCAAACAATATAGCATCCAAAACTTCATACAAGAAAGATCCTAACACATGGAACTAGGGTTCCTCAAAACCTATGTGAAGGGAAGTGATGGACCCCGTATTTCACCACTCACTTTCCCTAGCTACACGTATAGGTGAGGTGGATTAAGGATGCTTCTTACCCATCATTCCCATTCACCCATTTATTTACACATGGGTATAGCAAAAAGTAAGTGCATTTATCCCTCACACTTATGTAACTCCATATGACCAAATTGGAGTGTAATTAAACTGCTTCCATCAACTAACAACGTGGAGGGAATATTACACACATGAAGGAATATTACACACATGGGTGGCACACTCTTCTCAATTTGGAACATGTAGCTAGGGAAACAAGTGAAATTAACCCATTCAACAAGGTCACAAATTCTTTGTCAAAAAACAAGGTCACCAATTCCATCCACGTGGCTTTTGGGGAGAAAGACAAAGGATGCTCCTCTTGTCTTCCATTTCCCTAGCTCCACCAATCACCCTCTCAATTTCATGTAGAAAATATATTGTCTTGTTCCAATTATTTTGTTTGAGAAATAACCCACCTCATCAAGACAACAAACAATTGACAACCCATCTTTTTTATGACACATGGCAATGGCCTATGAGTTGGATTAAGGATGCATGTGTGTATTTCCCCACCCAACTCAAGCAACCATAATCATTTTTA